GGATTCAAAGTCAAGATTTGTTCTTTCATCTGTTATAACTCTATGCCATGTGCACAAATAAAAATGTTCCAAACAGCTTTGGGGTTAAATCCAGAACTCCATGGCAGCCCCCGGGTGGGATGGAGGGTTCCTAACCCACCCGGAGGGTGGGAGTGGGGTAAGGATGAGTAAGGAAAGCTTCCAGGAGGAGGAAGTAGATGACCTCTGAGCTGAGTCTCAAGGGATAGTGGTCTCTCCCAGTAAGGCCAATAGCAGGGGCTGGGAGGTGTGTGCCAGGCTCCCTGAGGCTGCCTAGACAGCCAGGGGTTGCTCCTGCCTATTTTCCTCAGGGAGTTGCCTTGAGTCCCAATGACCCAGGCAGGCTTTGTTCAGAGCCCTGTGTTGTAAACGTCCCCTATAGCCACCTTCATTGACACATTGTCCTGCCACTGGCAGAAGGAAGCACCTGCCAAGTTTGAGGGTTTTCAGAGGAAGCCTTAGAGGCCCAGCTCTATGAGCCTCCCCCCAAACTCCTGGCTCAGAACTCTCACTCTTGGCTGAAAGGTCTCTTAAAGCATCGGAATGAATTAAATTGTCTAAACCTATCTTTCTGGGGAATCCCCAGTCCTACTCCCCTTCACTGTCTAGGGGAGCAGGGAGGGCAGTCTTGATTTAGGGGTTGGAAATAGCAGGTTGAGGTTGGTGGCACTTAACAAAACAGCTGGTCTGGTCCCCCCTGTGTGACTCATTTCCTCTGTGTAGACAGACATGTCTGGTGGCCCAGCCGGCTTCCTTGCCTCTGCTCTTGCACACTTAGGCACAGAAAGGCTGGGAGCGCTTGAAATAGTGGAGGGTGGAGAGGGGCTAGAATCCATTCCCTCAAGCCCCTGACCTCAGACCCACTCCACTTCTCAAAGCCAGTGAGCAGCTGCAGACTCAGAGAGATAGCAACAGAAGGGAAAGAGTAGGATAGGCTGCCTGGGCCCTAGGGGGCCTGCTTTGAAGTGGGGAGCTGAAGCAGGAGTTGCCAGTGAGAACTCTGGGTCCTTCTCCCCCTGCCTCCCTTATCTCAGACCCTACAAGCAGAGCCGAAAAACTCTACATCCCTTAGACAAATGGTGCTAGGACAACTGAATATCCAGATAGAAAAAAATAAAGGTGGACCCTTCCTCACACCATACATATAAATGAACTCAAAGTAGATCATAGACCTAATTCTAAGATCTAAAACTAAACCTCTTAGCAGAAAACAGGGGTAAATCTTTGTGACCTTGAATTAAGCAATGGTTTCTTAGATACAACACCAAAGGCACAGACAGACACAAAAAAATAGATGAATTGGACTTCATCAAAATTTAAAAATTTTGTTCCTCAAAGGGCACCATCAAGAAAGTAGAAAGTCAACCTACAGAACTGGAGAAGTTATTTGCAGATTGTATTTGTTTCCTAGGGATCCTGCAGCAAAGTACTATAAACTGGATGGTGTAAAACAACAGAAATGTATTCTCTGCTAGGAGCCCAAACTCCGCATGTTGGCAGGGTTGGTTCCTCTGGGATTCAAGAATCTGTTCCATGCTTTTCTCTTAACTTCTGGTGTTACCAGCAATCCTTGGCATTCCTTGGCTTGTATACCCATCGCTCCAGTCCCTCCCTCCATCACATTCCTCTGTGCCTCTATCTTGACTTGGCATTCTTCTGTGTGTGTGTGTGTGTGTGTGTGTGTGTGTGTGTGTGTCTTTCTCCTCTTATAAGGACACAGTCACATTGGATGAAGGGCTCACCATACCCCAGTATGACCTCATCTGAACTAATTGCATTTGTAATAACCCAATTTCCAAATAAGGTCACATTCTGAAGTACTGGGGGCTAGGATCTCAACATATCTTTTTGAGGGATAGAGCATCAACCTGCAGACTGAAGGGTTTGATTCTGGTCAAGGGCATGTACATCAGTTGCAGGCCTGATCCTGGCAGGTCGATGCTCTATCCACTGAACCAGACTGGCTAGGGTGGAAAGGGTTGTTGTTTTTAATGGAGTAAGGAAAATGTTCTAAACTTAGTGGTAATGGTTGCCCAATTGTGTGAATATACTAAAACTATTGTATTATACAGTTTAAATATATTAATTTTATGATATGGGAATCATGTCTCAATTAAGATGTTTTTTTAAAAACTTAAAAAACAGCCTGTGTCTTTATTTCTTCCATAGAAAAGCAAGAGCTGGATCTCGGAAGATGACTTCTACCGGCCTCCCCAGGAACAGCCCCCGGAGAGTCCTTCAGATGGCTCCGCAGCTTCTCCCAGAGGGACTCCAGAGTCCAGGCCGTGTCTTCTCAGGCATTTTTCTCAAGGACCAAGAAAAAGCTCCTCCATGGGGGCCTTAGACAAAGCTTGTGTGCCTTCTCCAGGAAGCAGGAAAAGCCCGGCAGCCGCCACGCAGGAGCATAAGAACTTCAGGGTGGTGCATCGCAGGCAGATGGGTAGGTGGCTGCGGCATTCCAGGCCTCTCCGCAGGGGCACGCCTTTCAGAAAGCCCTTCTGACGGCCTGTTTTCCATGACCAATTGGGTGGCATCTTCTCATAGGAAAACACTCATCCTGTGATGAGTAATTCAAGAAAGCATTGCAGGAAAAGTGTTATGTATATTTTCTCATACAGTCTCAAAAGTAATGCCCAAAATTGCCTACAGAGTGTAAAAATACTGTTATTATATATTATTTCAGAGAGGAAGGAAGAGGGAGAGAGAGATAGAAACATCAATGATGAGAGAGAATCAATGATCGGCTGCCTCCTGCCTGCCCTACCCTGGGGATGGAGCCTGCAATCTGTGCTTGTGCCCTGACCAGGAATCAAACCATGACCTTCTGAGCCACTGAGCCACGCCAGCCGGGCTACTGTATCATATGTTGAGATGGAAACTATTTTCCCTGAAACTACCCTATAAACCTTATTATATGGAACTCTTGGTTCTGTCTTGATCTCCACACCCTCCCACTCCCGTGAAGTCCAGAATGCATTAAATCACTATAACCTAATTTTTCTATAGCCCTCATAAATGAACTTCCTGTTTCAAACAAGCAAAAAAGTGTGCCCTAGAGTCGGTCTCTTTCTCTCATTTTCCGCTTGCAGTGATCCAGCCGAGAATTCTGGCCAGGTTCCTGGGGCCCTGGTCCATGCTGGCTTCTTTTAGGTTTTTCTGTCAGCCTCTGTGATATGGTTGTAACCATGTTGGAGAAGGTGAGCTCAGTCCTGGGTCTTCTTCTCTGTCGACACCCACGTCCCAGCTGATCTCACCTACTCTCAAGGGCCTTACGCCAACAGCTCCCCAATGTTTAGCTCCAGTGTGGACCTTGCCCTTGAACCTCAGATTCTCACCTCCATCGGCTCCATGCATGTCTAATAGGCTTCTCAAAATTGACATGTCCAAAAATGACTTCCAGTGATTCTCCACTAATTACAACATTATCAGGTTATTTTGGAGCAGGGGCATGGTACCCTTTCAAATATTTTGCAAGTGGGCACGATTTTTTTAAATTACAAAAATGGGCTTATACTACTCAATACTGTTCAATACCACTTTCTATGCTGATAAAAATGTCCTATGAGGTTATGTTTCTCATCTCATAAAATGTCCAACTTCCTCCTCCCAGGTGCCTGGGCTGAAAACCTTGTAGTTATCCTTGACTTTCACATCACACATCAAGTCCACCAGCAAGCCTGTTGGCTTATCCAGAGTCTTCCACTCCTTACCACCTCCACCACCTCATGGGTTCAGTCCACCGACATCCCTGGCCTGGGTTACGGCAATGGCCCCCTAACTGGTCTCCCTCCCCCTGTGGTCCTTCAACATGAAGCCAGGATGACTCCCCCTTTAAAATATGTCAGATCATGTCCCTGCAGCGGCTGCTGTCCCCTCAGAGCCAAGTGGCTGGCTGGTATTCTGATGGCGGTCATTTCCCCACACCCATTACAGGACCTCGGGCCCAGGGGTTTTTTCTTGGGCGATAAAGGGACAGGCCCGTTGTCTAAAGTGCCTCTTTCTGCCTGCAGGACTGTCCAACCCGTTCCGGGGCCTCATGAAACTGGGCACAGTGGAGCGGCGGGGGGCGATGGGCATCTGGAAGGAGCTCTTCTGCGAGCTCTCCCCCCTGGAGTTCCGCCTCTACCTGAGCGGCGAGGAGCGCACCTGCGTGGAGAACTGCTCGCTGCTGCGCTGTGAGTCCGTGGGGCCGGCCCACAGCGACGGCCGCTTCGAGCTGGTCTTCTCCGGCAAGAAGCTGACCCTGCGAGCCTCTTCCCAGGACGAGGCCGAGGACTGGCTGGACCGGGTGCGGGAGGCCCTGCAGAAGTGCCGGCCGCAGCAGGAGGAGGAGTGGGTGAGCGTCCAGTACCCGGAGCAGCCCAGCGACCTCCCCAAAGACCCCCAGGGTGGCCCCCCCTCCCACTCGGAGCCCACGGAGCCCGAATCCCTGCAGGGCACGCAGTTGGATTGGTCCTCCGTCCAAGTGCCGGAGCCGGACGCTATTAAAGAGTCCCTCTTGTACCTGTACACGGATAGGACCTGGACGCCCTATATCTTCTCCCTGTCCCTGGACTCCCTGAAATGCTTCCGCGTGAAAAACAACGAGAAGATGTTAAGTGACAGCCACGGAGTGGAGACCATCCGAGATATCCTGCCAGACACCAGCCTCGGCGGCCCGTCCTTCTTCAAGATCATCACGGCCAAGGCCATCCTGAAGCTGCAGGCCGGCAGCGCCGAGGAGGCCGCCTTGTGGAGGGATCTGGTGCGCAAGGTGCTGGCGTCCTACCTGGAGACCGCGGAGGAGGCCGTGACACTGGGCGGGAGTCTGGACGAAAACTGCCAAGAGGTGCTGAAGTTCGCCACCGGGGAGCAGGGCTTCCTGCTGCAGTACCTGGTGGCCATCCCCACCGAGAAGGGCCTCGACTCCCAGGGCTGCTTCTGCGCAGGTGCCGACTTGCCCTCCCGCCACCCCCCAGCCCGCCAGCCTCCCTCTGCCTCCGATGGGGTTGCTGCCTTAGGCTCTGCACCCCTTCCCGGCCCTCCACGAGCGGCCCACCCCACCCCTGGGGTGTTGCTGCACATGAAGCTATTTGCAGCTGTTGTAGCAAATAGTGTCTGCTCCTCCCAGCACCCAGTGAGCCAGTGCCCCTGCTTGTGGGAGTCCATCCCTTGCCCTTCCTACCACTCCTGCTCAGGGGGGAAACCTGTGGGAGGCAGCTCTGCTCTGTGCCTCTCTCTGTCCAGGGGAGTTCCCGGAGCTAAGCTCCCCGCTCCCTTCGTTATCAGATTACATTATCAGGTTATTTTGGAGCAGGGGCATGGTACCTTTCAAATATTTTGCAAGTGGGCACCATTTTTTTAAATTACAAAAATGGGCTCATACTACTCAATACTGTCCAGTACAACTTTCCATGCTGCGGAAAATGTCCCATACAGTAGCTACCAGCCACATGTGACTGCTGGGTGCGTAAAATGTGACTAGTGGGACTAAGGAACTGAATTTTTTACTTTATTTCATTGAAATGGATTTAAATTTAAAAGGGCACCCGTGTCTCATGGCCACCATGTTGGACAGCACAGTGGTATATATTGTTCTGCAACTTGGTTTTTTTCTAGTTAAAAATACATTATGGGTATTATTCCAAGTCAGTGCATCTGCTATATCATTATCATCACCAAACCTCATTCTTCTGGGCTGGGTACTGGCCAGATGCTTCCTTTGAATTGTCTCATTTAATCCTCACAACCACCCTGTTGGGACAGGTTATAGCTGAGGAAACTGAGTCACAGGGCTGGTGGTAAGGACCTGTCCCAGGTTCACACAGCTATCCAGGGGCAGAGCCAGTTGAGGGCCATGTTGGTCCCAGAAGCTCTGCTCTTAGCCGGGTCCCCAGAGGCCCTCTCTACTCCCTTGTCTTCACGGCTGCCTGATATTCTGCTGCTCATGTTCCGTCTTTAGCTCTTCCCTCCCAATCCAACCAGCCATTTCCGTCACGCTGGGCCCTCCCAGCGAACTGAGTGGCGTGCCTGCTGCAGCGTGCCAAAGCTACGGATGCGGCTGCAAGTGGGTTAGGAGCTGTCCTGTCGGGTGGAGCCTGTGGGACTGGAGGGGAAAGCCTGCTTCAGGCGTCTGGGAGGAAGTGGTCTGCGGTCAGCACCCCTCGGAAGGCAGAGCAGAGTTTCCTGCTGAAAACTTCAAGCCCCCCCCCCCAACCTCCGCCCTCCACCAACACACCCCCTCACCCCCTTTGAGGTGATTCACTTGTGGATGTGAATGAATGCTGGCAGGGGCAGCTCTCACTGTCCCTGCCACCCGCCAGCCTTCGCCAGCTTTTGGGCAAGACTGAAACTGGGGAGCCTGGGCTTCCTCTCCGCCTGTAAGGCGAACGCCAATCACAGCCATTTGGCTTGTATTTCATAGTTTGTGGGGCACTTTCAAAACCGGTCTCATTGAAACTTTGTAATAACCCACAGAGTAGCCAGTAGTAGCTGAACAGATACTGAAAGGGAACCCGGCAAAAAATTCGCTGGAGGTCAGGATGAGGCAACTGGTAAGCAGAGGAACCGGCCTTGCTAGTCCTGAGGCCGGAGGGATTCTTGTCCCCTGGCCCCGTGGGAGGCTGGGCACGTGCTCAAGATTTGAGCCAGACCCTTGTTTGCCCTAAGCACAGCGACTCACTCCCTCTGCTCCCTACTCCAGGGACCTCCAGCTGAGGAGCTGAGGCTGCCCCACACCCCTGTCCTGAGGTATCCAGCAGCTCTCGCTTCAAACGGGCTCCAGGCCCTGCCTCCTGCTGCCTTCCTGCCCACTCCCCATGCCCGACTTGCAAGGCCCTGACTTAGTTGCTTCCTTGTCTGGGGCCCAGTGGAGGGACAGACCTAGAGGAAGCTGACATTGGTGAGCCAGCAGCGGGAACATGGAAGAAGGCAGCTAGTTATACGAGAATGCAGGCTCTCGAAGCAACACAGCCCAGCTCTGAATCCTGGCTGTGCCGCTTCATCCCTGTGTGACTGACAGGTTTCCCAACCTCTCTGCATCAGTCCTTCAGTGGTAAGATGACAGTGTTTTGTTGTCAAGATTAATTAATAGGGTTGATTGTGAGTGGTGGCTGTTCTTATCTTCATACTCTCCTTTTTTATCTTTATACTCTCCTTAGATAGCAGGCCTATCCACCGTGGTTGCTTCTGTGTTACTCAGGAGCTGACTCTGGCCCCGCCGCTGCTCACTCTCCCCATATCCTTCTCCCCAGGCTGCTCCCGGCAGATCGGCTTCTCATTTGTACGACCCAAGCTCTGTGCCTTCTCTGGCCTCTATTACTGTGACATCTGCCACCAAGACGATGCTTCAGTGATTCCGGCCAGGATCATCCACAACTGGGACCTCACCAAGCGCCCGGTGAGTCCCAAGCCCAGCCTATCGTGGCCACACAGGGCTGCTGACTGATAGAGAAACGGTCACTCCTCTATGCTGCTGCTGTTCATCTGTTGGGAGGAGTGTGGCTCTAAAGAAGGCAGGGTCACTGGTTCAGGCCTCGTGATATGGGGAAATTGATAAAGAAAAAAACTTGGTGCTGGTCTAGAGCCTCTGTGCAGAGCTCTGTCAGTGCCTGCCGTGGTCCTCAGGTAGGAGTCTGAAGATGGTTTTCTGCAGCTCCTCATGGCTGCAGACAAAACTGTTTAAGGCACCAGCAACTGGATGGATGGGTGGATGGATGGATGGATGGGCGGGTGGGTGGATGGATGGATGGGTGCGTATGGATGAATGGATGGGTGGAGGGGTGGATGGATAGATGGATGGGTGGGTGGGTGGATGGATGGGTGGATGGATGAATGGGTGGATAGATGGATGGTCTGGCCAGCTGGTTGCAAATCCCCTTGGAGCAGTCAGCCTTTTCTGTTGTCAGTGTAAGAACCTGACAATGGAAAAAACTAATGACAATTACTGGGAAGCAAGACCTCAAATACTCTAGACTGCAGTGGTTCTCAACCTTCCTAATGCTGTGAGCCTCTAATACAGTTCCTCATGTTGTGGTGACCCCCAACCATAAAATTATTTTCATTGCTACTTCATAACTGTAATTTTGCTACTGTTATGAATCATCATGTAAATATCTGATATGTAGGATGTATTTTCATTGTTCGAGACCCATAGGTTGAGAACCGCTGTTCTAGAGAATGACAGCTCTGCACTTTCTTTTATACATGACAATTAAAGAGGGAACGTAATGAAGATTACATGAAGATGGGAGAAAGCAAGGCAGGGATTGGACTTTAGAATAGTTAACAAAATTATGTGCTCTCTTGAGAGTGGTCACACTTTAGGAGGAGGGGGTTTAAAAAGAGGCATTTCAAAGGTGTGTACCCGAGATGCACAAGAACAATGGACAGCGCTTGCTGAAGGCAGAGATAAGCCTTTTGCTAGAGAAGTTATAGGCCTGGGACCTGACTACCACCCTGACCTGCCCCGTTGGGAATTTATGATCAGATCACCTTGTGAGGTTAGTTTCGGTTAGATCCAGCACCTCTTTTTTGTCCACACCATGCATCTATGTATATATGTGTCTACTTTTTTATAAAATTAGGATTATACTGGACTCACATTGTTTTATAACACACTTGGTTTACTTAGTATTACATCTTTGATACTTTCTTATGTTCACCAAATGCTTTTAACTACGATGTATTTTAAGATGGTTCAGGCTTTCCTCTTCTCCAGCTGAGCTTACCCACTTTTCTGGCTGTGTTACCGTGAGCAAATTGTTTAACCTCAGCCTCCTCATCGGGAAAGGCGGGTTACTACTGTTGTAATGTACCCCGCGAATCACAGAAGGACGCCTCAAGAAGTCGAATTAAAGAGTCACATTTATTGCAATCCGGGACTATGAGAGGCCATTCCCCAATCTCATAGTAATAAGATGGCCGCAAAACCAGACTTATATAGGCAAAGATCACAGAGGTATTGATTACATCCCAAGGTTTGGAATGAGGAACCTGGTTTGCAAAAAAAGCAGTTTACAGAAGCAGAAACAGCATGTTATCTAAATTATAGTTTTGGGTCTCCGGGTCACTGAATTGACAGAAACTCATTATCTAGAGCCCTCGGGTCTGGAATGAGGAACCTGGTCAGACTTAAGCATGTTATCTAAATTACAGTTTTTGGGTCTCCGGAACACTGAGTCAACAGGGACACGTTAACTGGAGCCCTCTGACCTTGGGATAACTGTGCTGTCCTTCCCAGGTAAAGGAAAATGTGCTAAGACCAGTATGACCACAACCAATGGGATAGTCACAGTACAATCAATAGGGTATTCAATCGAATGGGGTGATTTATATAATTCAGAAAATCAAAATAACTTTTCTATTATTTTAGCAAACAAATAAGTACAGAAACCAAACAGCAGGGTTAAAGTTAAACTATAGTTTCTACCTGAGATGATTGCTACCATACTTCACTACCAGTGTCTGTTTCGGGCTCGTGTGAGGACCGAAGGAGACAGTTCCCTCCCCTCTCCCGAGGCAGGTCACACTGGCCCCTGGGTCACCCGTCAGGGTCCATGCAGTCTTGGCATGTGGATGTGTCCTCGCCAGGGCACAGGGAGCGTGGGACTCAGAGTCTGTGCCATCCCAGCCTCTACCCTCCTGGGGATGGGAACCCCGAAGACGTTAGCTTCATCTTGTTCTGTTTGTGTGTTTTTTGGTTACCTCATCCCCACCCATACCCTCAATGTTAAGTATTTAAATAACTACATGGAGAAAATTACACCTCAAAATCACCACAAAGGCAAAGAAGCCTTTGACCATAAAACACACTCACTGTTTACAACACCCGGATATTTCTGTTGGGCCATCTCCTTATTCATTGCTGTAATTCTGGTGCCACTTCCTCGTTCCCGCTAGAGAATGACAGTCCTCTTCTCGGCGTGTCTGCGAGTGGGAATATCCAGCTCGCTCTCAGATCCTGGCTTGGGGAACACAGGGAAATTCAGACTAGAAAGTGCCCGGCTCTCAGGGATGGGCCTGGCTGCTCACCGTCACTACCCGGCTGACCCACTTGTGCGAGGCCTGCCTGGCACTTGGCAGGACGTGAGGCCAGGACTGGGGCTGCTTTCTTTGTCTGTCTCCTCCTCACGCGCGGGATAGAAACAGTCCCTGCAGCACAAAGCCCCTGCCCGTCCGCGCGCTCGGCTATTTTCAGCCACATTCCGTGTGTTATTTCATCTGAGCCTCACCCGAGGCCTGAGGCTGAGTTGTGGTCAGGGATGGGATGGGTGGAGGCTGGGGAACAGCAGTTTGATCTGACTCACAGGGGCTTGGACACGGGCTGCCCATTGGCTGGGGCTGGTACCCCTGGGACATGGGAAAGAGGAGCTGTCCATTGCCGGGGGAGGCGAGAGATGCCAGTGGAGTTGGGGGACCAGAAGCCTCCCGAGGCCCCTGTTACATTCCTGACCCTCCGGGGGCAGCTGGTCCACAGCAGCTCAGCGGCTGATGGCAGCCCCTTGGCTGAGTCTATGCTCCGTGCCAGGGGCTTACATAGACTTTGTTGTTGTTGATCCTCACCCCAGGATATTTTTCCATTAATTTTTTAGAGAGAGTGGAAGGGAGGGGGAGAGACAGAGAGAGAGAAACATCTATGTGAGAGAGACACATCGATGGGTTGCTTCCCGCAGGTGCCCTGACCGGGCCGGGGATCAAGCCTGCAACCAAGGTACGTGTCCTTGACCAGAATCAAACCAGCAACCCTTCAGTTTGAGGGCTGATGCTCTAACCAGTGAGCAAACCTGCTAGGGCACTTGGATTATTTTTTAATCTAAACTTAAAATAATTCCAGGAGGCAAGTGGTTTTATTTTTTTCCATTTTACACATAAGGAAACTGAGTCACCGAGAGGTTAAGGAAGTTTCACGGGTCATAAGGTAGGAAGTAGTGAGCCAGGATTCAAATCCAATTCTGACTTGAAAGACAGACTCCTAGCTACTGCAGAGTAGTTGACAGTGGAGGAGACCACACCTCAGCTTAGACCTGGTCTCCACTGCCTACAGGTGGGTTGGATAAGCCACTTTAGCTTCTCTGAACCTCAGTTTCCTCACCAATGAAGTGGGGATGATGGCATCTTCCCCTTTAGGTTGTTACTGGGGATGAAGAAAAGAGGTGGTCAAGATCCTCAGCCCAGTGACTAGCAAACAGTAGGTGCTCAGTACTTGGCTTTGGCATGAGGGCGGGGCCTGAGGGTAAAACTTTCAGCACCCTCTCAGGTGGGACAGACTGAGGTGGGTCACTGAACTCTGCACGGAGACTCGGGGAGCCCTGGTGCTGCTGCTGGCAGAGCCGAGGGAACTGGGGAAACCTCTTGTCAAGCTGCGTCTGATCTGTGGCTTCCTGTGGTTGGAGCCTGACTCAGCCAGTCACCTGGTTCCTGAGTCGGCCCAGCAGACAGTGCGTTTCCTTTAGGCAGGAAAATGGGGGCTGGGAGGAGAGGAAGTCCTGGGAAGGGTCCCTGAGGCCCCGGGGGAGGGGGACCCCTCCTCCGTCCCAGCATGGTCTGGGAGGGCAGCAGTGGGTGCCATGGAGGGAGCGGAGGTTTGGGGCTCATAGAATCTGGGTTCAGATCTTGGTGTTTATGAGCCGTGGGCCCAGGCCAAGTCACTTCATCTCTCTGAACCCCAGTTTCTTCACCTGTAAAATGGAATGGCACCATCCTCTTGGAGGGTGGCTGCAGCCTGAGTGGGTGGGTGGGTAATGCAGGGCCTGACCCAGAGGCGCTTACTGAAGGGCCTTTCTGTCTCACCCCCATTGCCTGGTGGTGTCCCCAGGTCTGCCGGCAGGCCCTGAAGTTCCTGATGAAGATCCGGGCCCAACCCCTCATCAACCTGCAGCTGGTGAACCCATCGCTGTACGAGCACGAGGAGCGGATGCACCTCATCGGGAGGAGCCGGGAGCAGCTGAAGCTTCTGGGGGATTACCTGGGCCTGTGCCGGAGCGGGGCCCTGAAGGAGCTCAGCAAAAGGTGAGCTCCCTGCACGTGGACACACGCTCAGGCGTCCTCTGGGGACACGCAGGAGGCAGCCAATCAATGATTCATCATTGTGCCTCTCTCTCTCTTTCTCTCTCTCTCTCCCCCTCTCTCGTCCCCTCTGAAATAAACAAACAGGTTTTTTTTTTAAAGAAATATATAGATAGATAGATATGCTTTTATTGATTTTAGAGAGAGAGAAGGAGAGAGAAATAGAAACATTGATGAGAGAAACATCGATTAGCTGCCTCCCACACGGCCTCCACCAGGGATCAAGCCCAGGAATGTGCCCTGACCAGAAATTGAACTAGTGACCTCCTGGTGCCTGGGTCCACGCTCAACCACTGAGCCACGCCAGCTGGGCCATAAAAACATATTTTTTATAAAAGAAGCAGAACAGGAGGAGCCTCTGCCGGGGCCAGGCCCACTGTGTGATTCAGGGACGTCGCTTGACTTCTCTGAGCCTCGTTTTTCTTGTCTGTAAAATGGGCAAGTCACCCCTGTCTTCACGTGGCCTTCTGAGTTGTGGTGAAGGCTGCATCAGAGGCGTAGAGTCTGGGAAGGGACACGGACAGGCAGACAGATGGCCCTGGTTCAGCGTGGCATGTGCCATGAGAGAGGGCACCTGACCCAGCTTTGGCAGGGCCCAGAGGGTCAGGGTAACCCCCAGAGGAGATAACATCTGAGCTGAGTGTTTGTGGAGTTCTGCCTTTTCATTAAGGAAAAACAATGTTTTTCTTCTTGCAAAGATAATATTCAAACAGGAAGAATGAGAATCAGGCAGAAAGTTGGGACCCCCTGCAGTCTCACCTGTGGGTATTGTTTGAGCTTCCAGACCTCACTCTGCCTTACACACAGGAAAACAGGGTTACCGCAGCACATGGCACCCCGTGTATAAGGAGATGGGCTTAGAAAAACTAAGGGGAAGGGAAGGCCCGGCTTTCCTGGCTAAGGGGACCTGTGGCATGGAGGGGGGTGGGAGTGTGGCTCACCAGGACCCACAGGGGGCTTAGTGCAGCCGGATTGTGGGTGCAGGGCCAGACTGGAAGGTCCCGAGTGCCACACCAACGGCACCTGTGTTTTATTCTGCCAGCAGTGGGAGCCACTGGAGGGTCAGAGCAGGAACTGTCACATTCCGATCAGGAGTTTGAAAAGACCGAGTTTGGCAGCAGCCGTAGTAGCTCGCCGAGAGGAAAGGTGGCTTGGACTGAGTCATCCAGGTGGAGGGTGAGAGGACGAGGGGGCTGAGAAGGAATAGGCAGGTCTCGGATGTGGGATCCCCTTTCTCTCCGAGGACCCAGCCAGGGGGCTGCCACCAGCAAAGGGGAGCTCCCCCGCCCCCTCGACTTCACCTCCCTCTGCAGTTGTAAGGCCTCTGAGTGTGACAGGCCCGGGTACAGTGGCTCGCAGGGAAGGCTCTGGACCTGATGGCCCCCAGGGCTTCCATGACTGAGCAGAGGGCAGATGATAGAGGTGACTGTCCATCCAAATCAGCCCCACCCTTCCTGCCAACTCAGGAACAGCCTGAGCACCACCCCCACCCCCGCCCCCTGCGTTTTCCTGGTGATAAATGGCGGCTTCCTGTTCCCAGAAAGCTGGGATTTTCCTAGGGAGACCAGCATAAAGTACTGAGCGTCTAGTCCTAGCTGGTCTGGCTCAGTGGATGGAGCTTCGGCCTGCGGACTGAAGGGTCCTGGGTTTGATTCCCATCAAGGGCACATGCCCGGGTTACAGGCTCAATCCCCAGTGTGGGGCGTGCGGGAGGCAGCCGATCAATGATTCTCTCTCATCATTGATGTTTCTATCTCTCCCTTCCTCTCTGAAATCAATAATGTGTGTGTGTGTGTGTGTGTGTGTGTGTGTGTGTGTGTGTGTTTTTAAAAGAAAGAAAGAGCCAAACCGGTTTGGCTCAGTGGATAGAGCGTCGGCCTGCGGACTCAAGGGTCCCAGGTTTGATTCCGGTCAAGGGCATGTACCTTGGTTGCGGGCACATCCCCACTGGAGGGCGTGCAGGAGGCAGCTGGTCGATCTCTCTCATTGATGTTTCTAACTCTCTATCCCTCTCCCTTCTTCTCTGTAAAAAATCAATAAAATATATTTTTTAAAAAAAGAAAAGAAAAGAAAAGAAAAGAAAGAACTGAGCATCCAGTTGGCAGCGTCCTCACACCACAGATCACCCACCATGTAGCCTGCCTGGCTGCTTGGGGCGACTTGCCATCTCCACCCTGGATTGGCTTCCCCCCTGGACCATAATTGAGGCTGTGGAGTGAGCCATGGCCAAGCCCCCATTCCAGACACCCCAGGGTCTGGCCCCATCCGGCCCGGATGTTCAGAGCATCCTGGGGCAGGTTTGCAGGCTTCCTCGGAATTGGAGCCCCAGCACCGTGCACCAGCACCGTGCACACTCACACTGCAAGGCCAGGCAGGCTTTGTACCCGGGGAGCGTCTGCAGGTGTTTCCTCTCTGTCCCTCAGGATGTAACCCTGGGACCTCTGCCATCAGCGGGGTAGAAACCAGAGCCCGGTTGGTGGTGGAGCTCATCCTCTGTCTCCCCGCCTCCCCACCCACCTCTGAAAGGGGATCTGCCGTGGGGCTGAGGACAGGTCTCAGGTCCTCACAGGGCACCGAAACCAGATGCTTGAATGTCTGTCCCTCGGCCAGACCAGGGCTGCGGGAGGGCAGAAGCCAGGTCCTGTGCATTTCTGTCCCCAGCACTGTCCCTGATATGTGTTGGGGGCAATAAAGACAACAGCTGACACCTACAGGCATCCACAGGGCAGATGAGAACAGGCTCCAGAGCCAAGCGCTGACTCTCAAACTCCAGCTCTGCAGCTTCCTAGCTGTGCGGCCACAGCAAGTTATTGAACCTCTGTTCCTCCATTTCCTCTCCTCCTCAAAGTGAGTGTTATAATAGTGCTGACCTCAAAGGATCATTGTGAGGAGTAATAAGTTTATATTTATATATAAGCTTTCAGCCCAGTTCCTGGTACCAACTGTTAGCTTTCATCATCCTCTTCCTCATTATTATTTTTATAGACATTTACTTTATTTTATATACCTTTAAGTTAAAAAAGCATTTTTAGCCTTATTGAGGTATAGTTGACAAATAAAATTGTAAGATATCTAAAGTGTACAGCGTGTTGATTAGCTATATGTACACATTGGGAAAGAATTCCTCCCATCTGGTTAATTAACACACTCACCACATTATTTACTTATTTATTTATTCAGAATTTTTTTTTGGTAAGAACATTTAAGTTCTGCTCTCATTGAATTTCAGTTGTGCAATACAAGTCTAGCAACTAGAGTTAGGTAATTATTCATTGTTTACGATGTGCGAGGCACTGTGCCAAAAGTTTTAAATAAATTATTTAACCCTCAAAACAGCTCCATTTCTCAGGTGAGAAAACGTGAGGCTCGGGGAGGTTGAGTAACCTGCCCGAGGTCCCTGTTAGTCAGTCACTGGAAGGCCAGGTTCCGCCCGGCTGGCTGGCTGTGCTCCTCGTCAGCACCCGCCCAGATGGGAGGTGTCGGTGCCTGCTTAGCCCGGCTCAGGGGATGGAAACAAACACAGGTTGGCTGGGGCTTGGAAACCCTTCTAAGGGACCTCTTGTGTTTTCTTTGAAGGCTCACCCACAGGAATTATCTCTTGGAGTCTCCCCACAAGTACAGTGTCGCTGACCTCCAGCAGGTGAGAAAGTTGCCCGCCCCTCCCCCACTCCCAGACCTTTCCAGAGGGACCCCATTCCTGGAAAAAATCAGAAAGGGAGGTGGGGGTGGTGTTGCTGAGTTCACTGAGACAAAACAGAGGTCGGCAGCTTTTCAGGACCTTGGACTGGTGTCCCCCGGTCCCTTGCTTCCTGGGGCAGTGAGTGAGCCCGCAGCGCCCCGGGAATAAGCAGGCACTACAGCAAAGCCCAGGATCACAGGGGTGAGAGTTTGAGACATTCCTTTGCTCAAGGAAAGGAACAGTGGATTTGGGCCTCGTCTGTCAATCCCGTGATCCCCACCTGCACAAAGGCTGATGCCTGTACTGCTCGGCCTGATTTGGGGAGGATCTCATGCCCAAATGGAAAGACACTTCTATTGGAATAGGAGTTGTTAGGTTTTTTTAATATGTTTTTATTGATTTTTTTTTTTTTTGAGGGAGAGGGAAGGAGAGATAGGAAGATCGATGAGAGAGAAACATCGATCGGCTGCCTCCCGCACACCCTCCACTGGGGATCCAGCCTGAAACCCGGGCATGTACCCCGACCAGGAATCGAACCAGGGACCTCTTGGTGCATGGGTTTATGCTCAACCACAGAGCCACACCAGCCGGGGAGTCGTTCTTCAGGCAGGGCGCCGCCAATAGGCCACGCTTTGCAGACGGCCTTGGCCTCAGCACAGCTCCCTAAAATGCCTGGCGGCCTGCACCTGCCCCTACAGATCTCGGAGGGAGTGTATGAAGGATTCCTCAAGACCCTGATCGAGTTTGCCTCCCAGCATGTCTACCACTGTGACCTGTGCACCCAGCGTGGCTTCATCTGCCAGATCTGCCACCACCATGACATCATCTTCCCCTTCGAGTTTGACACCACCGTCAGGTATGCAGGACACCCAGCCAGATGCCCCACCCCTCCCCTTCCCCCAGCATTTCCGGGAGTGGGAACACACTTAACATCCCCTCTGCGCTAGTGCCTCGGGTTAGTGAGGTTGTTTAGAGTAGCTGATGCCCTGGGCAGTCATGGTCAGCCCCAGTGCTGCTCAGGGGACAGCACAAGCCCTCAGAGAATGCTGTTGGCTCTCTTCCGGGGTCTCAGTTTTGTCATCTATGAATGGGTTGAGGAGGGACTGAATGAGTTATTGCCCTGGAGTGTTGGACAAGGCCCAGCACAAAATGGGCAACTGGTGGGTGACCTCTGCCCCTGTCATGGTCGTTCTTATTCCCAGTTATCACTCGCTCATTATCAGAAGCCTCTAAATGGACAAATTCATCCACCAAACCTTCCTTCCAACCATGTGGGAGTGGAAATCTGAACTGGTGGGAGCATTCATTCATTTTCAGTAGGTGTTCCCTGGCCCAGATTCAGCCCCTGAACAGACCTGGGCTGAGTGTTTTCAACTGCAGAGTATCTTAACCATAGGCAAGAAGTCATTAGTGAGTCTCAGCAGCATTTATAAAAAATGAAATAGAGGGTCAGCAGGCATCACATGACCTTGGGTACGCGTCGCTGCAAGAATCTCTTCTCCCTGGATGGAGAAGTGGTGCCTGCAGGCTGGGGGTTGTGGGTGGAACACAGCCCGACTGTGGGCTCTGGTCAGGAACACTGGCCAGCCTCAGGCCCCAGGGGAGGCCTCCGCCCATTCGCACAAGTAGCACTTGCCTCTTTCTCCCAGGTGTGGCGAATGCAAGACCGTCTTCCACCAGAGCTGCCAGGCCGTGGTGACGGGCTGCCCCCGCTGTGCCCGCCGGCGCAAGTACCACGAACAGAACGCTCTCACCTAACCCAGTCTCCTGACCCCCCTCAAAGGCCTCGGGGTGAGGGTTCAGCTCAGCCATGCAGCTGGGTTTGCCATCAGCCCCGGCCACTCTCTCAAGGTGTCACAGCTGTCTCCCTCGTCAGGAAGACTCTCAGATGTGACCAGAGCATGAGCCTACCAGAGGGCTTGATGATTGATGCCCCCCCCCCATCTGCTCCAGGAGGTGGGACACCAGCAGACGCCCCCTGTCCGGGGTGCTGGGGGTGGGGGGACTTTGCACTAATCAGGCTCCAGCTCATCTCACTGACATGGCACCCCCATCAGGGCTGTTCACACACTGTGGAAATAAGACTTGGGGCGCATTTTCAAATCCACATGCCTGATTAAAAGGTCTAGTTTTTTAAGGTGGGTTTCCCCCTTCCTATTTCAATAGAAAATATTTTTTTATTCTTAACCCTATACAAGTCACCCAAGAAATCCAGGCATTCTCACCATGAGCGAATGTGCAGGTACCGCCCAGGCCTGGTCTGCAGACAGGCGGGCGGCTGGGCATCCCTGGGACAGAGCCATCCGCTGCCTCTCCTTCACCCTCCCCAGATGCTTGCTGCCAACAGCTCAAGTGCAATGTGCCAAACCGCCCATGGGGCCAGGCGGGTCAGTCCTGATGCCACCTTCTTCCTCTCCCTCTCTACTCCCTGCCCCATGCCCCCCACCTGAAAAGCCCATCTTTCTCTGTGTCAGAGCCCCTCGGCTCTTCTGTGGCCGGGATTCTGGTCCCTGCACGAGAAGGGGAATGACTTCAGCCCAGCACTGTCAGCACTTTGCATCTTCCTTGGGCCCCATGCCCTCCTCACTCCTACCCTTACACTGGAACACTCTCAGGGGTCCCACCCCTGCCTGCCTGACCCCTGCTGGGACAGAGGTAGTCTGGACAGAGAGGGCAGCGAGCCCAGGCCGGCCGGGGCCGGTCTTGGCACACACTGTGGAACAGTGACCCGTCCTTCACGAAGCGTGCCAGCCCCGCTGCTGAGATGTGCGGGGGCCAGCGGGGGAAGGGCCACGGAAGGGCTTCACCTCCGTTCACAAAGCCATGCATTCACACAGCTTTGCCGGACTGGCCCGGGAGGGGCGCCGCTGGAGACTGGGAAATGTCATTGAAACACCATTGCCATTTGAAGGGGTGTTAGAATGGTTTTCAAATGATAATTAGACCCTTGGGGTTTGGGGGAATCTGCTGCATCCCTCCCCCCTCTCCTGAATCCAGCCCCCCTCTGCCCTGGGGCCCTCTGGTCATCTCTGCACTCAGCTGGAGATTGGGGGCCTCATGTGAAGACCCACCTGTCCTGCCAGGAGATGAGCTTACTCCCACTTCTCTCTGGGGGTGATTTGGCTGCTCAGTCACCTGTCTAGCCCCGTGGAGCTGGATAAATTGTGCAATAGAACAGAGGAGGTACTAGGCAGGTGGGGGAGGGGCTGCCACACAGCCTCTCTGTCCCCTCTTGTAAGATGGTGCACACCTGTGCCCAGCACACCAAAGCCTCCAGAAGCAGAAATGGATCCTTATCCTCATCCCACCCCTCAGAGCATTTATGCCAGCACAGCCTGATTGGAGCCCCAACTGCCCCAGATCCCTGAGTGGGCAGGAGCCCAGCCTAGGTGAGCAGTGTGGCCCTGGCTGGGCCTGTGTGTTCTATATTCCACGAGGTGCCCTAGGAGGGGGCAGGAGTGAGACCTTGGAGGCACCCACTTCAGTCTGCTCCACCCCCGCGCTCCCAGAGATTAGAAGCATTAAATCTGACGCTCCCCCATCCCCAAAAGCTGCTGATGCTTTCAGATGAGCTGAGTTGCACCTCCTCTCCTCCGACGGAAAGCTGATGTGAACCCCAGTAGTGGCCACACTATTTTTAAAGTGTCACTTGATGCAATAAACTTTGCAGTATGGGGCCCTGGTGCTTGGCAATGTACTGAAGGAACTGCTGCTGTGTGTTGTTCGAATGATTTTGCAGTAAAGATCTGATATTTCTAATCTCTGGTCTGGCTTCTGAATCCTAACGCTGCGGCTGATTGGGGGAGACCCTGGGCCATCCATTGCCAGTCTGATTGGGCCTCCGCTCTCCTGTTAGTCCCTAGGCACCGGAGAGGAGAGGACGGGGAGTGGTAAACATTTGCAAGCAGGAGACTTGTGTGCCAGCAGTGGGCATGGAGGAGAGGGCAGCCAGGTTCAGTATATACCCCACCCTTGGAGCCTGAGGAGGCAGGGCCCCCAGGGGGTTGGATTTCAGGGAGGTTTATTCCTATGCAACAACTGAAGCTGATGCCTGAAAGCCCACCACCATGGCTTCTTTCCTGTGCCTTCCATGCCAAAGCGCAGACCCCTGGCCCCGGAACATGGGAAACCTCGGGCCTACCTTTCCCACTGGATTGAGCGAAGGGGCTCAGGAAGGACAGGCTGGGCAGGGCCCTGATTCCGCCCTCATGATTTGAGGGCTCACATGGGCTTTTATTTGTCTGTAGACCTTCCTCGGAAGGTCCAGGGGCCCCCGCAGGGGGAAGCCCAGCAGGGGGGAACTGCCCACTGTACAGACAGAAAGAAATGCTAATTTTCAGGGAAATCAGGTTGCAGGGAAATGGGACTGGAAAAGATGACATTCAGGTCTGCAGTTTCCTGTCCTTTCGGCCCATGAGGGAGCACCCACTGCCCATCCCATGAGCCCAGCTTCTGCAAGCTCACCTCCCCCAGGGGCAGTAGGTGGGGGTGGGCTCCAGGAAGACAAGAGGAACCTGGTTTGAGGGCTGAGAGGTGCGGTGGGGAATGGGGAGGAGGGAGGCCCACCTGGGGCAAGAGGACCAGGGGCAAGTGACCTGCCCTGCCTTTGGACTCAGTGCCTTTGTCCTCTGCAAAGTGCCTCTGAGGACTCTTGCCCCCCACACCCACCACCACCACCATCTAGAGGAGGATGGGAGATTTGGAGACCTCATTCCAAACCCAAAGAGGCTCCTCTCCTTATAAAAGTAGTGTTAGTCAGCCTGGCCAGCGTGGCTCGGTGGTTGAGCATGGACATAGGTCACGGTTCTATTCCCAGTCAGGGCACATGCCTGGGTTGCAGGCTCAATCCCCAGTAGGGGGCCCGCAGGAGTCAGCTGATTATGATTCTCTCTCATCCTTGATGTTTGTCTCTCCCTCTCCCTGCCTCTCTGAAATCAATAAAAATGTATTTTTCTAAAAGTAGCATGAATCACAGCTAATACGCTGTGTGTTTTATAATGATAATGTGATCATAACAACATCGCCCTTAGTGCATCTCATTTAATCTTCTCAACAATCCTGTGAAGTAGGTGTTCGTGTCCCCAGCCCACCGGAAGCAGCTGCAGAGATAAGGTGAGGAGCATGAGCCTGGCCCCAGGAAGTTGCTCTGATCTTACCCTGGAGACAACGGAGGGGCGCCCTCCTCCCCTACTAGGATCCAGGAGAAGGTGAGAACCAAGTCGTTGGGAGGGAAATTCAGCCAGAAGTAGGTGAGGAGACCCGACCCCCGCGTCCTCCTGTCCTGGTCCTGCTGCCTCCACCTCCCGGGAGCAGCCAGGTGCGGCCCCGGGTCCCGGGAAGCGCCGGGGGAGGGGTGGCGCCTCTGTTCCCAGGGCGCTGGCTCGCCCAGAGGGGACAGGAAGCCAGGACACCGGGGATTGTCTCTCGCCGCCGCAGCCCTGCCCCAGCCCGGGAGGAAGTTCTGCCTGGTGCGCTCGGCTGGTGCCTCCCTCGCTATATTGTTGAACAGGAAACCCGGCAGCGCGGGAGCTGGGCGGTGGAGGAGAGCGAGCGCCGGACGCCGAGCCCACGCGCTCCCTGCCGGGACAAGCGGAGGCCAGGCTAGCGAGTGGACACCCCGAGGTGCTAAGGCCGGGCCAGACTGGGCGGGGGTGCTGAGCCGCGGGTGGGGGGTGGGGGGTCGGGGGCCGCAGGTGCGGGTCCTCGCCCGGGAGCGCCGCGCGCCGGCTCCTCTTCCTATCGCGTAGGGACTGGAGCTCAGGGGCCCGGGAGGATGCCGCGCGGGACGGTCCCCTCCCTGCGGAGGACGGGGGGTGGGGGGTGGGGGAGAAGGGCGCCCTCCGTCCGGGGATAGGTTCAGGGCCCCAGCGCCGACCGGGGCGTTGGCGCCGCTGTGATTCGCGTCGCAGGGCACCTCCTGGCGACCGGTCCGTCCTCTCGCTCCAGGGATCCTCCCCGCTCCCCGCTCCCCGCATTCCTCCCTTCCTCTTCGCTCCCCCAAGGGCAAGGAGCCGAGGCCCGGGTGCCATCCTCACCCATCCCAGGACCCGCGCTCCCGTGGGCGGCCCTGAGCGAACCCGCTCCGAGTGTTCCCGGCCCCGCTGAGCCGCCGGGAAAGGGTCGGGAAGGGCGGGGCCCGAGCGCGCAGTGCCCGCGATCCGGCTGCAAAGGCTCGTAGTTGTGATTCGAGTGCAAGTGGCCGGGCTCGGGTTGAGAGTGCCCCGGGCAAACAACAAGCCAGGGTCCGGCAGTCCCGGGACGCAGAGGCTCGTGGTCAGCAGATCCCGGGCATGGGGGGGGGGGGGGGGGGCGGGGCGGGACTCTACCTTCCAGAGGCTCTGCTTGCGACCCGCCAGCGCCCCGTCACTCGGAGCGGGGTTCCCAACAGGGACGCCCACAGCCCCCACCCCCACCCCCACCCCCTGTCCCTACCTCATGGTTTCTCCTGCCCCGGGACCAGCTTCCAATGTCTTCGCCGGCCCAGTCAGGCTCCCCCTCGCCCCCTCCCAGACAAAGCTGCGTTGGGGGTTGGGGACAGCCCGCCAGAGCGCCCCTCTCCCTTTCTGTCCCCCTTGCCAGCTCCTGCTTCCAGAAATCTCTCCAGCCTAGCCCTTGAGTCCCGGCCCGACGAGATGGCAGGCGCCTAACCTGCACCCATCGCAGGCGCAGCCCATCCAGCCCATGGGCTCCCGAGGACCCGCCCTGCCAACGTGAGTGCGCCGCGAAGGCCGGGGAAGGTGGGGAGAGGGGCGTCCGCCGGGGGCTGTTGGCTTAGCTCCCGGCAGCGCGCGGATCCCGCCTCCCGGGCCCAGAGTACTGAGTGACTCAGTTTCCCCATCGAGGAAAGCTTGACAAGGTCCAGAAGGAGCGTTACGCGCCCCTCCCTCCGCGGGACCCGGTCCCCGGTCCCTCCGCCTCCGCGAGCAGCCGAGCTCCCACGGCGGGTCCCCGGCCACCTTTTAGGGCAGGAGGTGTGGTCAGTGTAAAGGCTGGGAGGAAGCAGCCACCTCCGAAGGAGGCCACCGACTCAGGCTGTGATGGAGGGACGCAGGCAGACGCGGGGTTAGGCTCCGAAGCCAGGCCGAGCCGGCACGGAGAGGCTGGGCTGTGCGCTCGCTCCGGGACACCCGGAGACAAGGCGCATTCTCTCCGGGCCACTGTCAGGCGGGACGTAGAGATCCCGGGGCAGGTAGAGCGGCGCCAGGGCCCACCCCTTCTCGGAGCGGGAGGGGGAGCCGGAGAGCAGAGGCGGCGAGGGCCGGTTTGGGCGGGCCAGGCTCCGGGCTCACGTCTGCGGCAAAGCCGCTGGGGAAGAAAAGAAAAACCGAGAGAACCGGTTTCCCGGCCTCGGGAGTCCGGCCCCTCGTGCCAGGGCTCCTGAACTAAGTGAAGCAGGGACACCCCGTGGTTGCGCGGCCCGGGGCCAGGAAGGGGCGCCGTGGACTCGCGTTCTTTCAGCGCTGGAGGCGGCCCGGTGGGGCGGGATGTAGGGAATGGGTTGTTCTTCCCACTTCACGGAAGGGGAAACTGAGGCCCACTCAACTGTTAGGCAAATTGTGGTGTCGACTTGATCTCGGGCAACCACCCATGTCAGCAATTTTCAACCCGTGTGCTGTAGCACACTGAGGTGCCAGAAGAATTTTTTTAAACATGCAACATCTGACTACTGGTCAAAGGCACCCACCTCTTCTCCCTTGGATTGTCAAATTAAAAAATGACAACATCCAACAATAGCCGTCCGTTGTGAATAAATCAAAATTACACTTTTTTCCAGATTTTGGTGCGCCACAGAATTTTAGTTATTAGTTTATTGTGCGCCATGAGATGCAAATCGCTCCCCCCTCTGTGTGTGTGTGTGTGTTGTTTGTTTGTTTGTTTTGCCCCATCTCTTTGAACCAAGGCTTTCCTGGCTGTAAAGCAAGGCTTTCCTGGCTGTAAAGTTGAACCAGTATTACCCACAATCCTCCACCAAGGGATTGGATGAAAGGGTTGCCGTAATCCCATCCCTGGGTGTAGGAATGAGAATTTAAGAGATTATGTTATACAAGTCTCCCATTTTAGAGATAGGAAAACTGAGGCCAGAACGCACACGAGGAGCGTAGCACTAGTGCGGTTGCCTCCCGTGTCCGCGGCTCTGACCTCCGTGCCCCCCTCCTTGCTGTCCACAGCGAAAAGCCGCGGCTACGATGGCCGCGGTGGTCGAGAGGATGTGTATGTGCTGTGGAGCACCCTTTCAGTACACGGCAGGACGGCTGC